GAGCGATAGTGAAGATGTAGTTGTTACTAGTCATGCACATCAGTAATAGGTCAGATAGGGAATGACACAAAGACCTACCGGAATACTGTATTCGGGCTCTCTGAAGTCCTGCATTCGGGGCAGCCATATTCGCCAAGCTGTACAGAAAGTTCCAAGTACCGAATGTGAGACAGTCTAGAGGCGTTCTTGCCTCGTGTTGTTTGGTCGAAGACAGATAGATGCGAATCTTCGAGTCGAAGCAGCTTGAAACTAAAGCTTTCGAAAGAATGTTGTCACTCGAAGCAAACAGCAGCATAAACAGCAATACTGTTTGCTTTGTGTTTGGTTTCTGGAAGAAGATAGTCAAATACAATAAAGCGAATCTCTGAAGGGAGCAAAGTCCATTGGGAACGGGTTGAGCACGCCATGACGCAATCAGTGATAACTTAGTTTGAGGGCCAATCTGCTGGGTTAAATTCGTTGGTACGCTCCAGCTTGATTTAAGGTAGAGACACGATGGCTCTTAAATACTTGATGATGTTTTAACTTTTGAACTTGTACCTTTAGACAAACTTAAGGGTGAGTCATGAAGGTGGCTTTGGAATATGCAGGTTAAATGTTTGTTATGTGTATATGCACCACCAACAAGAGAAGACGAGCAGAGTTTAGAAAAGTAGGTATAAAACTCAAAGGTATGTCGAGAAAGTAACAGATTTCTGTGAATCTAGGTAGGAAGCACTATTCACCTATATGTGCGTAGGGATAAGCTAAATTCCATCAAGTCTAAATCTCTAAACTTCACTCCTGTCTTTGCCCACAGCTTTATATGCTTTATCTTGCTTGAGCTCACAATGCAGTAGGAATACGGTTTACTACGTAGGTTAGAAAGGTTAAGATTACACAGTTCTGCAAAGTAAGGCACCTATTGTTTAAACTAAGAAAAGCTGTGTTCTTTGCCACTTGTTTTCTCTTTTGCTTTAGCAGCGCAAAGCATAAACATCTTATACTTATTGCAATAGTTAAAGCAAACCTTCTGCATATAGTTTGACTAGTTAGATATTTATAATTGTAAGTAATATCGGCTTTATATAAGTATCTTTTTAAGCTTCCCAGTAATATCTAGAAATAAGATACTACTATTTAGCATAGGAAGCATATTATATACCTATAATATAGTTATTAAGTTAAATATTTAGAAAGAAACTAGAATCTCAGATCTGTTTATAAAACCGTTTTAACTAAAAGACAGTAAAGTAAGGAAAACAGTAACGCGAGTTACTTAGGGCTAGAGATAAAAAGAAAACTTGCGGTTTGTGTGGATCGAACACACGACCTTCAGATATTAATTGCTTATAATTGAAGTTTGGCTTCAGTCTGACGCTCTCCCAACTGAGCTAAACCCGCTGACTAATGATGAGATGAAATCAACGCTAACCCGAGATCTACTTCGACATCGTCAGCCAGCTAGCATAGACAAACACCTGATATTATTGTCATGAGATAACAGTATGGCATATACCTGCGGCATACTTCAGGACTGGCTTTCAAATGAGACCAGTCTAGCGCTCACTAGCTGAAATCTCGACTCTCACAAGTGTAAGGATAGATCATAACTATACGGGGCATCTTATAACTTTATCGTTGGGAGTCCTTGTTTGATGCTGCGCAAGCAGTGATCAAGCCATATCCATATGCTAGCACGGAAGCTGAGTCACTATAGTCAAGTCAGTATTTCAGAAACTTGGTCGGAAAATGCTAGGTTTCCAGATCAGAAGTTGGACGCAATTGGGGTGGGATATCTGTTCATGTTTGACGTTATACTCCAAAGTATTAATCACTACAGCACCGCACCAAGGACACTCCCTACAAGTCTCCTTGTAGAAGTCGTTATAGACTCGTGATCATTGCCCAAAATTTCAAGCTTCTTCCTCTTTGTCAACCATTTCTCGCCACTAGACCAGCTCTCCGCGCGCACCGATCGGTCGTGACAGAACGTCGTAATGCCATCAGCATTTGCGCGCTGGTCGGTCTCATGGCAGTCTTCAACCACAAATTGGATCCATCTATCCTGTAGCTCATAGCTCAAATCAATGTTGGACTTGCAGTACTCGGTAGATTTGGCGCTTACGGACGATTCATTAACGTTAGGCTCTGCATGAGCTTGGTCAGGGTCAACACAACCTTGCGAAATCCCTTGGTCAGCCCTCTCTAGATCGTTTTGGAAATTGCCAAAGGCGTAGACTAATTCAATGCCGTGATGCGCAATTCCCTGCATCGGCCCTGGGAAGGGATTGCCGATTTCGAAATGGTCATACTGTACACCCACCCGTTTGGGGTCCTGGTCACGCAGGAGAGCTTCTTTTCCACGGTGACATTTGAGGAATTCGTATCCGCAATATACTTTGTACATCATGGTGGTATCGGATATGAACTGGGATGACGCCTCAAATAGCTCTTCATCAGAAGATGTAGGTAGAATACCATATGCTTGAAGAACCCCTTGGGCTGCTTCCTCCGAGGGATAACTCGAGGTGAGTAAAGACTTGAACTCGGTGTAACTCCAGTTGGCCATCAGGGCAAAGGACCTAAATTCGTCGTCTGCTGCACTTATCATGACTTGGACCTTTTCGTTGGAAGGCTTGGCTTCATCAGCCAGTCCGTCATGAAGGTGTACAGTAACGCCACAGCCCAAGTTGCTTTTTCGAATGGTCGATTCGTCTATTATGAGTGAGAAGAGCCCCCAGCGAAGCTCTGAGATGCTATCGAGTAGATCCCACGTGGGTATTCTTCTTAAGATGTCGAGTCGGTCAACTGGGTTATCAACTTGGATTGACCACAATTGGCAGAGGTCCGCCCAGCGCTGATCGGCTTTCTCCAATGATGACAAATCGAGACATCCAACTGGCCCTGAAATCACACCAACTTTGCGGAATAGCGATCTCTCCGTGCCTAATTCCACCTGGAGGAGGTGAAGGTAACACGAGATTCCACCAGCAGAATGACCCATGATTGTGATCTTGGCCTCATCTCCCCCAAACGCAGCAACATTGCGTTTTACCCATATGAGGGCAAGTCTTTGGTCATAAAGACCAAAGTTCACGCCCTTGAGAGTGGCGTCGCTGCCTTGGGCCGCGATCACGTCAGACGAGCCGGCGAAGCCAAATATACCCAAACGATAGTTGATAGGTATGGCAATGAACGGTGTTTTGTTAGAAATCGACCGAAGTACAAGCCGGGTGGGGTCTTCGTGTAGATTCGTGGTTAGCATGTACCTCATTCAAGTGACAAGTCAACCCGCAATATTGAATCGGACACATACCCCATACTGGATCTGTTGCTGCACCACCAACGAACCCACCACCATGAATCCATACAAGGACAGGTAGCGGAGTCTTCTCGGCATCTATATCGTGCTTTGCAAGTGCTTCCTTACTAGGACGCGCGACGAAAAGATTTAAACACTCAAACTCATCCTGACGGACGTCCGGGATTGGCAAGTATGATTGAAACCCCCTTGTGTCACCTTTCTGCGCAGGACATCTTGGACTGGAGAGTGGTCAGCCTCTCAAGTATGGCAGGAATAATTGCTCGCGCAGACTGAGTGGTTACCCGTTCTCCGTAGCGTCAAAAATATCACGCGGTAAACGATCTCTCAGGCGAGAATGCTCCCATCTTCCAGGAACATAAGCGTATGGTATGCCTCGAAACTCCTCAACATCAGCTGAGATGGCTGATCGCTTGCCGACAATGGTCTGTATGTGGCTAGGGACCGAGGATGTGGGCAGCCGCACAATGGGAGCTTGTTCGGGATATAATTTTGGCGACATAACAATGGACAACCGCAGCGATATGGGACTGTAGTCACAACAAGATCTGTAGAACAAAAACAGTATTGCTGAGGTTATTTTCAGCCATTTATTCAATCTGTCTTGAGTGCCAAGACCCCGCCGGGACTATCTCAATTTGATCGTCGCTCGGTGAGTGACTCATAGGCGACGTGTTGTACGTAATACCAGACAGTAGTTAACCGCCCACATCGACCGATATGCGGATTCGCCACAAGATTAGATAGCACTAGTCATATAAAACAGCCTTTATATGCGTCACAGCATTAAGTTGAATAGGACGCTCGGTTATATATAACGTGTTGCCTTTAGTGGGCTTCAAAGCCTGATCAGCCTTCTCGAGCATCGCTTTTGCGGCTGGCTTAACTAGAGATAACAACAGACTGCTGCAAGGTATGTTCTGTGTGTAATCTGGTAAGATTAGTTCCGGGACTTGGGCTCGCGACCCTCTCGAGGTTCATAGGGTTATGTTCGACAAATATTGTGGGAGTTCCTGGGACTCTAGGTCTTAGTGGCTTCGGTTGCGGCAGGCGTTGTGGTTCTTGCTTTGATGTCACAAAAGGCAATGGTGATGGAAGAAGCTGCTCGATTGCGTTAGCCATCAGCTGCTATCGGTTCCAGCCTTGTCATACTTACTGGTACGCTCGCCAGCCTGGGTTTCAATCTCTGTAGAACAACACCGGGCCAACATCTCCCCTCAGAATGTGACTCACTTCAGTATATTCGCGGATAAATGATGGAGGAGAACGGTACGAGACAGTTGGCCTTTGGACCTTGCCACTCAATGTAACATGTGCATGAGTCGGCGCTGACCTTCTGGGTCTCTCGTGGGGATGAATGCGACGGCGGAGTCTGAAAGCACGGAGCTATCAAGAGGAGATAGTATCATGGCTGTGCTATGTACCGGAAGCAGAATGGACGCACAATCATTTTTTACCTATCATTTCTTACCCCTTTCTGGTGGAGGAGCCATGTGCTTTGTTAAGACTATGGCATTTAAAGACCCAAGTAGCCCTCCTTACAGGCTCGAATGAGGTAATTCCAGTCTATCTTGAGCATGTCTTGCTCAAGTGAAATGCAGCCCAACGCATAGTTACCAGCTATGATCGAACTCGATGACTTGTTAGCATGTAAATCCGCATATATGACAATCTTAAAAGTGATGGAGTCATCAGATCCGGTGTGGTGTATCGGTTATCATTCCGCGTTTTCATCCAAGTAAGATCCGCGGCGAGGAGGGTTCGACTCCCTCCATCGGAGTCTTTTTACTTAGACTGCCTGTGCCTTATATTAAATTTTTACTATTTCTCGTTATTTAAATTCTATTAAATGTTTCCTTAAGCTTTAATTATAGACCTTTTTTTTATTAAAAGCTAAGATATTATATTACGGAGATAGTAATATATGCTTTAATTAAAAAGATTCAATCTGCCAGATTAATAACGCTTAGAATTAGTCTGCTTGGGTCGCTATAATATCCTACGTCTCTATCAGTTCTAATATGCACCACGTTTTGACGGTCACGTGCTAAGCGATTCGCAGCGATGGTCTGTGCTCATTCTAACTCCCAAAGCCGGTTTCATCAACACCTTCCATCATTAATTATTATCCAATAATATCTCAAAATGTTAACCTAGTGAGCATTAGCTCGCTCTGCTCCCCGCACTGGAGAGTCTCTCATTTTGGACTAATCTGCTTTTCTGGTGGTGCTTTTAGGTCTTGTTTTTGTTGTTAAGACTTTGAGTCGCCACGGGGGGCATTAGAGTGGCAGGGGATTTTTGCCGTGGAGCCCCATGGATAACTGATGTGAGCTATATGCCAATCGAGTCTCGAAGTCTTCTAGAAGAGAACTAGTCGTTCGAAATTTCGCCCATACTCTTTATCATCTCCGTGTTGTGGAGTGTTTAGGTAGAGTTATTGATCCGGACGGTACGTATTCTAGCCTTACCCATCTCCATTTGTTCGGAATAGACCCACGGACTAAGATCTGTAGTATACTGAGCCCTATGTCCCAATCAGTTTCGAGTAGCATCACCCTAGATTTCAAGTAGTTTCTTTACCATACGTACGAATCTACTTCTTTCCTCACGTCGAGGTCATTAAGAGACTGATTATAATTTGGATTTGTTATGGCTCCATCAAATAGTCATCTTGAGCCTTCAAATAGGCTATGGGGCGGTACACCTTATATTTACCGAAAGGACCATACAGGGCAACACTACCAACCACAGGCCCAAGCCTCAATTCAAGTAGCAGCAGGCCACATGTTATGTTGATGCACTCTATGACGAGAAACTCATATAAAATAGATTGGCGGTGGATGAAATGTCTCAACTTTGATTGGGGCTTGACACGATTTTATTGATCTTACCTCATGACTCAGTTTCGTTGCATCTAGAGAGCAAAACTCCCTGTGCTAGAAGTCGTGTTATTTCGTCTGGATTTGAATCTTACAAATCTGGTTTTGAGGTAGCTGGATAATTGATTAGAGATCTGTGTGGAAATGGACAGAGGCGAAGAGGCCGAGGAAGGACAGCCTGCAGCTTCGGAACTAGCTATGGTTTGGACCGACCTTTTTATGACTTTGAGAACGAAACGATCACCTGGAAACCTCAGGCCAGTAGCAGAATGGGAAAGCAAGAGGTCCGCCATAATTGTTCCACTAACGCTTAGCTTAACACGATGCCGTGCTCCTAAATACCTGATCTCATTGCGGTCTTGGTTCTATTTTGAGGTTCTGGCCCATCACCTTGGGATTCTTGTACTTTTCCATCGTCTCGATGTACCCCTTAACACGCCTCCGGCAACACTATCTACTCCACCCCAGAAAGGTCCACCATGACAACTAAGCAATAGGCTGATGTGCAAGTTAATGCTCCTTAGAACCGCTTTCGACTTTCTCCTTTGGATCAATTAAATATTATGGTCGATGTGCCCTGATAGGCGCCTTATTTGTTATGTTATTTGTTTTACCAGTACCCTTGTGCTAAGCGTAGTCCCACCACCACCAATCTTCTTTGAGCGGGCATTTCTTTCTCGTTGCATTCAAGAATCGAATCGCTATGGAAACACAGCGAGCATGATACAGTGCCCCTGCTCCTGTCCACTCTTCGTATCTACATCTGTCTACCCAGCTCGAGCTCGGTTGGTCTATAGGCAACTTCCCATGCCTGGATTCATCCCAGCCAAGCTCACGAGCCTTCTCGAGCTCTTCCGAACCGTTGAGAAGGGACATATCAGTGTTTTCGCCAGAATCTGACATCTCCCGCCTTTCCAGGTCTAATATAAATTGTAATGCGGCTTTGAATGTTGTTCTGACATTGGACACAGTGCGGTCTAGGTTATGAGGCCCTGGAAGAACATCTCCGTTGTCATGTAGGACGTCAAAGGATATAGGTGCGCTGAGGCCTTCGGTGCTCCCGGTATGGACCAGAGATACCGGAATGTTGTTGATATCGTCGGCGCTGAAAGGCCCTTCTGTGGGCCCAAGTGTCTCATCTAAAACGATGAAGACAGCTTTGAAGAGAGGCTGTAGGATGTACATCCGACCTAGGGCTGCGAGCAACTCCTTTTCCCCTCCATTAAACTCTGTGAGTGCCACTGAGAAGTTCTGAATAGACAAAGACTCGAGGAATTCGAGTGGTAGGCGTCCAAAGGGATCAGCGGATAGATCTTGACAAAGACCCATATGAAACTCCGCAATTCTTTTTATCGTTGGCTTCGCGGCATCTTTGTCGGCCCTCAGACACATACTTTTGGCGATGTAGCGACCGTGTTCGATATCAGATTGGTAAGGTTTGAACCACTTCCGGTAGAGCCAAACATCCAAAAACTTCAATATACCGTTTTGTAGATGTTCTGCTTGCCGCTGAGGGTCAAACAGGTATATGGCGGTAGATTTGTTGTGACAGTCGATGATGCTCTCAAGGGTTGAATACCTCGACTGTGCTGTCTCACCAAAGGTCCAAAATACTTGGTTCTGCTGTTCGGATGATAACTTCCAACGAGAAGGCTCACGTGCGAAGTTTCTAAGAACATGTTTCCGGTGCTTCTCCTCCTTCAACCCACGCAACTGGTGTAGAATTTGATCCCTGTCTTGATAAGGCCCTTTGCATGCACCTAGTCTAAGGCGCTGCAGTGTTTTGTAAACAACATACTGGGCATCTTGCCGATCTGGCGTTTGGGACGATGCGTCTCTGTACATCTTGCGAGAGGTTTTGGTTTAACCAGCTGGGGGAGATTGGATGTTGGTGTGCAAAAAAAGAACGAAGACGGAGGCTATCGACTGGGCTTAAATACAAGCGACTTCACAAACTTCAAACTGTGCGTAAGTTCAAACTTAAAGCTGACTCACCGACTATAAAACCTAATGCTTCTCAAGAGTATCCAGTTAGAACACTGACGGAAAAAACTTCTTCAAACTCAAAACTTGCAAAAGAGGGGTTAGTCTTTCTCAAGGCTGATACGTGAAGTGGTTTTTTGGGAGGTTAAATGGGGATTGTATAAAATACAATCCCTCTATTAGCGCAGCAGGCTGGGTGCTTAGTCTTTGTCCCTGAGAACCAGATCACTAGCTATCCGTTCAGGGCTGGGCAAAGTTGAATCCGGAACGCAGTTAAGGGTATCTCAGAGAAGACAGTTCGAGCTTAGGTAGTAAGAGCGGAGAATTGTCACCCCTCCTATATATGTATATGAAATTTATCACCCACCTTGATGTTCGCTCAAACCAACACTTTAAATGAGAAAGGCATAAAGGCAACTGTCAACCCAGCTACTCGAGTATCACCGGAGAGAGGTTGTTTTTGATACTTTGTCTCTTTGTGAGCTACTGTTTGCATTTCAAGAGCTACGAGAGCTTTAAACCCCGATCTGATTCCCCCAGCTTCAACCTCCAGACAGAGGGGGCCGTTGAAGAGAGCGCTGTCTGAAAATCCTATTCGGGAAGCTGTAATAACTACCAAAAGATACAGCTCCACAGTGTCTCAGGGACAGCAGCTAATATTTACAAAACTGCTTTATTGTTCTTTTATGGCTGTTCAACCCGCAGACGCTGCCTTTGAAGTCAGCTTTAACTGTCGCAAAGGAGAAAACTTATCCCCAATCTGGGCTTAGAAACATATGCTCACAGATCGGTCTAGAGATACAAAGATGTGAAACGAAGCGTATTCTCTTACATTGTAACTTTTCATTTGACGTTCGAAAACTTCTAGGGGTGAGCTAGCGGTTCGAACATTGCCCTACAGTCCTTGTGTTTCTTGGGTTGTGGACTAGATAGGTAGAGTATTTCGTTGAGATTCAATGAGCAGCAACTTGTAAATTGCTTATGAATACACTAAGGGATCGGATCAATCTTTATCCGTGCATTTCAACATATCTAACCATAAGCATATAATTGCCTCTTCTACCAACACACGCCTTGATGGGTTCTTAGATTGATAGTTAGAAATTCATTAAGTCAAATCTCTTGATTTCCTCCTCCTATCCGGTTGAACTAAACTTCCCTTTTCTTGAGTCGGTTATATCGTCACTCGCCGAGCTACGTGCATTTCTAGCTCCTGGGCTCAGCCTCATCTACAAATAAATCTCTCACATGAGATCTAGAGTCAAAGAAATCACGTCGTTAACCATATACAATATGGCCATGACTTTCCTCCTCCTCTTCCATCCAAGACCCTTCGCTAAGATCGACCAGTATCGACATTTGTTCCAACATATCAAGGACGTGTTGTGGAACGTCGTTGTCACGTCCAATAAGCGTATGCATCTGGCGAGTGCAGATACCAAGCGCACCAGTACCCTGCAATGCATCAAAGACTTTGCCCGTCAGCTCAAAGATCGTTTCGTCATGGCCATTAATGCCTTCTGCAAGAGAAAATATGTGGCCCGCCACAAAAGGCACTTGCCATTCATGCTGCATATATGCTGGCCCAAGTGAAGCGCGAAGAATCCCATCATATCCTGCCTTGATCTGCGTCATCGTCACCCAGTTCAGCCGGTGCATAAGTAGGTAAGTGAAGGCGAGTTCCTTAAGTTCGTCCTCCAATGCTATACCAAGAGACGCTAGCACCTCAGTTGGTGGTGCACGAACGTTGGTTGCAGCCGCCTGCGCCTTGCCTTTGGTTTTGTTCTTGAACATTGTCGGCCCTCCTTCGTTCTCTAGTGTACGAGATAACATATCCCCAATGGTCTCTGCGCTCCAGTTCATCCGATTTGCATTGTTCTGGTATCGTTCCTTGAGGTATTGATGGGTTGGAGCAACG